ACACACACACTCACACTCACACTACACGCTGACAGCCATCCTCTCTCCTCCCCTCTCTCACTCTTAATTTGTCACATTCACTTATACACACAAACACACATACAGAGGGTGCAAGAGAGTCACTTGCCGTCGTTCCCTCATTCTCCTACACACACACACACAGTGAGTGAGTCCCACCACATAATGACCCCTATTTCACCATGCTGACTGTGACTCACTGGTTCAGTCAGGAGACTGGAATGTCAAGCTCCATCTATTCAATAAATTCTATATATTTTTAAAACATAATTACATAGGTGAAGCAAAAAAAAAAGTAAAAAACAAAAAAGTATTAAAAGTTTGAAAATAAACTTTTAATCTGCAGTTCAGTACTTGTTTTGTGTTACATGGATAATATATAATGCCTGAATCATTTTCCATTTCTGATCTTTTAAATAAACATATCACACCTCCACATTTGTCCACCTTTGATATCTCCTTCCTGTAAGCATATTTAAAAAATGCATGGGGGCAGGGGCAAAGAGTGAATGTGTGTGCAAAGGTGCTGCAATATGACAAGGCATGGAGTACAAGCAATATTTTTCCAGAAACATATTTTTTGGTTCTAATAAGTTCCAATCAGTGTTCCACACTGAATTGTGGACATAAATCTGTTACTTCACAGTTTATATCATGTCAGTTAGGTTGCATTAAGAAACACCAGTGTAATGCTCATATTAACCACATGGTCCTTCACAATTTTTGAAAGCAACAAAGGAGCACACATCAGTTGATGTTAGTATAACATGATGGTGTAATTGAGTTATGTTTGGGGATACATATGCTACTATCACTACTAGATGTACTGATAGTCTTAAAGGGCCAGTGATTGCAACTAACTGAATACCCAGGTGTGTAGGAGAAACTATGGTGGCTGGGAAACTCACAAAAAACACAGAAACATGGAGGTTCAACATAGTGGGCTCTATAGAAGAAGACCCACTCCCTCTGTAAATAGAAACATGTCATTCTAAGGTAACAAAAACACAGTGATTCTTATTTTTATGTTATAATTATAATTATGTTCAGTACTGTGCCCAATATGTGGACACATCCAGCAATATTGATAATTGTGCTATCACATGACAAAATGTATGCAGTGGATTTTAATGCCGAAGTTATACTTTTCATATCAGACACACATTATTGTTCCAAGAATATTTGTATATGTCTCAATACATGTCTGGAGGGGATCTTTAAGCAAAATGTACTGATTTTCAAAAGGAATTTGCAAAATGGATAGCATGAGTTCTTTGAGAATAATGTGAGGACTGTGAACTTTTACCCACAAAACACTAAATATACAGAGAAACACGTGGAAAGATAGTGTACTACATTTGTTTTCGCATTTGCAGTCAGCTGCAGATGAAGCAAAGTCTACTGTACAAACAGGGGGTCAGTAAAGCCAAGGTTCTTCCCCTTCTTTCCCGGGGGTTCACTGGATGTCAAGTTATCCCAAACAAACAAAATAAAATAAATAAATAAATCACTTCTCAGGAGCAAAACTGGATATGGTCAAGTAAAATGAAGTCAATGCAACCAGAAACAGGGTGGTGCTAATTTCACAATTAAGCACAGATGTTGTGACTGTAATATTTGGGCTTGAGACAGAGTAAGGAAAAAAAATAACCTAAAAGAAGAAATAAATCAAAATTTATTGTTGTGTAAGATGTCTTTTTTTTATTTATTTTCTTACAAATGTTTACTTATTGTTTTTGATTCTTTGAAATTAATTTATTCTATTCTTAAATCGTCACTTTATTTTTTGTTGTTGTCACTTGTTT